AACTAGGGACTCATTTAATTTTTAAAAAGCTCCATCACTTCCTGATAATTTCCCACTTCTGTGAACCAATCAAGTATCTTCTAAGCTTTTCCTCCTCGAGATGGCTCTGGCTGAATTCCAAAAGGGAGATCAATTGATCAAGCAAGAAAATGCAAATTATCCAACAGGTTGCCCTTAAGTGTGGTGCTGTGGCTTGGCCCCATCTTTCCTGTTTGGAGTGAGTCTTTCCTGCCCTCCGCTTCCATTTCCCAGACCTTTCCCACTGTGCCGGAGATTAGATTCTAGGCCACGAGGAGCTGCTGTCAGTGACGAGGACAAGCATAGTGTCACCCTGTGTTCTGCCATGGGAAATCTGTCTCCACCAAAAACCAGTCAACTCTGAGTGTGTTAGAGCGGAATGTGCCCCGCTGTGTGCACAAGGGCTGAATTTTCGGAAGCAGATCCCCAGGCCTTTCTTCCGAGGTGCCTCTGGGTGGACCCAAACTTCCCACCTTTCAGTTAGCACCACCTCCATACAATCAGCCTCCATCCAAGAGTCAAAACGCATCAGACGTGCAGCCCTGAAAGAAAGCGGATTGTTACCCCGGGCTTGGTCTCCCTGCAAGCAGGGCCAGACTCGGACCCTATGCGGTACTGACTCTCTGCCCTCCAAATGGTGCCACAGATCATGGAGACTCCTTGCGAAGCCCCGTGCTAAACAGGCTCCCCTCCTCACCACAGCAGAAAGCAAGCAAGGTTTCATCCCACTTCATTCAACACGATTGGTTCATTTTACTTTGTTAAAAGGCATCCATTCTTCAGCGGGCAGTTAACAAACAAACACTCCGATTCTACAGTCCTCAGGATGGTCCAGTCATCATCAGGTGAATTGAGCTGTGGTGGCATAGGGTTACCCAATGGGCTGCTTACCACAAGGTTAGCAGTTCAAAACCACCAACTGTTCCCTGGGAGAGAGAGGAGGCGCTCTACTTTCATACACAGTCCCAGGCACGGAAACCCACAGGGGCAGTTCGACCCTGTCCTACAGGGTCGCTATGAGCTGGAGTCAACCCTAGGGAGTTTTGTTTTGTTTGGAATGGCAGCAAACCCAAGCCCCAGCAACTAAGACGAGGGGAATCTGAAAATAATCATCTCAAACCAGAGGGGAAGCCTAATTCTGAGCGTCCAGCATCTGGGCTTGTGGACCCTGCGCGAGGAAGCGTCAGTGCTTCCCGCTGAACTGGCTTGAATACTGCTGTGATGAAGAGAACGGATCCTTGTACGGTTACCCTGCAACCCAAACACGTGGCAAGTCACACTGGGGCTAATACAGCAGGGGAAGAGGTAGTGGGTGCTTGGGGTGTGGCCAGAATGCAAATGGCTTTTGTTTAGAAGCCTTGCTGTTTGTCCTCCTGCCTCTCATTCTCCCAAAGTTCACTCTTCCACTTTGTCCTGTCCCCTGCCCTTCCTGCACCAGCAGAGCATCAGAACCTGCTTCCAGCACCTCTGTAGGAAAAAGCCCACAATCCTGTTTATAAGCCCCCAAAACTCCCTAACTCATGGTCATTGAGTTGATTTCAACTCAGCGACCCTTGTAAGACAGGACTGAACTGTCCCAGCGGGTTTGGAGACTAGCTCTTGGAAGGTAGCTGTGCTCACCATAATACCACTGATGTGAGATTGTAACTCTTTACAGGAGTAGAAAGCTTTGTCTTTCGCCTGAGGTTTTTGAACCACAGATCTTGTGGTTAGCAGCCTAATGCATGACCCGCTCCAGCCACCGGGGCTCCCTGGGTATATTTTCACACAAATAACTCGCACGAGATTTGGTTTAGAAAACAATGCAATCCCATTAGTTTCCTATATGTGCTATGCGCACTATATGCACATATTATGTGCTTTGACATGTGACATGTGAAAAATATGGTAATCTTGAAACCAGTCCTATAGGTGATTCTAA